GTAAAACTTCCTCAAAAAGAAATAAAAACTCATCGGCCTCAGACATGAACGGTTTGGGCCGCGTTACCGAGTCGTGAGTCACATTGTACCTCCATTCTTTGGCGAAGCGAAGGGGCGGCTTCTTCGTCCATTCCAGAATGTCTCCTTGGATTACGGTTACGTCATGTCCTCTAGCCGCGATCAGGTCTGCCGTCCGATACATGATCAGGTTCTGACTGCCCGAGATGCCGATGTTCGTCACTATGACCTTCAGTGACTCAACAACGATGCAAATGAACACCGAAGACGAGCACAACAAGAGGGTGAGTCTCATCTCGAATGACTAAACAAAACAATAACGAGCATTTCCTATGCTTAAGTAGGCTTACTAAGCAGCAATTCAAAACGACGAAAACTGTTATAATCGAATTTTCCCGATGCTTCCAGCCAAGACGAAACCATATCCTACCGATGACCTTTGCAATCACAGACTTCTTCATAAGAAACAAGGTTACCCAGACCAGCGGCGTCGATCTGATTAATCGCTTTTTGTCACCAACGTGTTTGCCAGATAATGATTTGGCTTGCGATCAGTTTTACCGACGATATTGGCGAACAAGAGCCGTCATGAATTGCCGGTACCTTTAATGATGCTAACCAGCTGCCAACAATACTCATGTAAGGAGCGGATTTTCTGCAGTATATGAGTGTTTAATATTTACATTTTGTGTTGATTATCACAACTGATAGTCAGCCATCACGTGAGTCATTTGAGTTGCAGCATTAGAAGGCGCTATTATCCGACATCAGATCCTACGTCTGGCACAACCACGCCAGAACATCATGTTGACCATCATCACTGCAAACACCGAATTGCTTTCCGCGCCTAGGCTGGTCTGAAGCAACGTGAAGTGACGTGAAGTAAAGTGTTTTTTCTAGGGAATCAATCGCTGATTAAAAGAGGTTTTTTCTTCATTTTAAACTCAATCATGACACCTCAAGAGTTTAAAGCCGACCACCATCACTATGACATCTCAAGCAATTGCACTAAACTATGTTGATAGGCAATGAACTCCTGAAACTAGTTTCATTATATGTAGTAACTCGCCTTGTTTCCACCTGTCCAAGGGATTACTGTACAGCAGCTAAACTTTCCACGCAGCTTTGAAATAGAAGACCATTTTCGAATAGAAACTGCAACTTGGCTAACAAACATTTCGTCATCAAATCATCAGCGGTCAAAGGAACCATGTTCTTGGTCTTAAGGGGGAAAATGAACATGTATACGACTACGGACAGCGGACTTTCGACACTGCTTTCGCTGTCTCCTTGCTTGCTTCGACATATCACACTCGACTAGAAGGTTCATTTGTTTCCAA